ATAAAATGGGAAAAAAAGGAGGGAGAATCTTGGAGGAGCAGAGAAGTTGTGTGAGAGAAAAGGAGACTTAAGAGAGAATGGGTGTGGAGGGCAGAGAGGCCCAAAGAGAAAGCATGGCTATGTGGAAAGCGGGCAGAGGAACCCAAGAGAGCAGAGAGGTAGAGAACAGGGTTAAATTGAGGGGGAAGTAGAAAGAAGAGAGGAAAACTCTAGAGAACTAGTCAAAGAAACAACAAACAAAAAGAATAGCATTCAAATGCAAATGACAGCCTCAAAGACAAACCCACCTTTAGAAGAAACTTTACCAAAATGTTGGAGAAGTAGAACAAACAAACAAAACTCTGGGGAATTATGAAGTATAGTATTCATAAAAGCTTTATACAAGCATACTAGTACATTGCTTGTAAGACATTGGTCTGGGCAACAATTTTTAGGATATAACACCAAAAGCAAATGCAATAAAATAAAAATTAAACAAGTGGGACTATATCAAACCCAAACTCCTTTGCATAGCAAAGGAAACCACCAACAAAATAAAAAGGCAACCTACAAAATTGGAGAAAATATCTGCAAATAAAATATCTGATAAGGGGTTAATATCCAAAAATATAAGGAACTCAACAGCAAAAAAGCAAATAATCAAATTAAAAAATGGACAGAGGACCTGAATAGACATTTTTTCAAAGAGGATATACAAAAGGCCAACAGGTACATAAAAAGATGTTCAGCATCACTATTTACCAGGGAAATGCAAATCAAAACCATAAGGATACATCACCTCAGGCCTGGTAAAATTGCTATTATCCAAAAGAAAGAAATGACAAATGTTGGTGAGGATGTGGAGAAAAGGGAGCCCTTGTGCACTGTTTGGTAAAAATGAAAATCAGTAAAGCCACTATAGAAAATAGTAAGGAGATTCCTTAAAAAATTAAAAATATAACTACCTTATGACCCAGCAGTACCACTTTTGATATTTATCTGAAATGAAATCACTATCCCAAAGAAATATCTGTAACCCATATTCATTGCAGCATTATTCACAATTGTCAGGACATGGAAACAACCTAAGTGTCAAAATGTGGCATATATAGTGGAGATATTATTCAGGCATCAAAATACAGGAAATCTTGTCATTTGCAACAACATGAATGGACTTTGAAGAAATTATGTGAATGTACTGTGAGGGCATTATGGATGAAAGAAGTCAGAGAAAGACAACTATGTTCTTGCTTTCTTTATTATTTTTGTTAACAAGATCCCTTTATTTTCATTTATTTATTTTTTAATCCTCACCTGAGTATATTTTCCCATTGATTTTGAGAGAGTGGAAGAGAGAAGGAAAGACAGAGAGAAATATCAATGTGAGAGAAACACATCTATTGGTTGCTTCCTGCAGGAACCCGACCAGGGCCCACAACCAAGGTACATGCCCTTGAACAGAATCGAACCCGGGACCCTTTGGTCTGCAGGCTGACGTTCTATCCACTGAGCCAAACTGGCTAGGGCTATATTCTTGCTTTCATGTGGAACCTAAAATACCTAAATCACAGAAACAAAGAGTAGAATGGTGGCTGCCAGGGGCTGGGGGACTGAAAAAATGTTGATCAAAGAGCGCTAACATCTCTTTGAGGTGAGAATTAAATGAGATAAATTTGCCATGATATCTGACACATAATAAACCTTTATTAAACAATAGCTATTATTTATAAATAATAGATAATAAATAGCTAATTTTATAATAATATAATTATATAATCTATAATAATAAAAGCATAATATACTAATTAGACCAGACAGCTGAACACCTTTCAGACGAAGCCGGGGCTGCGAGGGCCAAGGCAAGCCGCTGTGGTTGTGAGGGCCAAGCCCCTTGCACGAATTTTGTGCATTGGGCCTCTAGTATTCAAGTAATACAATTCGCTAAATAAGACAAGTTCTGGGGACCTAATGTACAGCAGGTGATTACAGTTAACAATACTGTATTATATACTTGAAAGTTGCTAAGAGAGTAGATCTTAAATGTTATTACCACACACAAAAAATGTGATGAATGTGTTAGTGTGGTACTGCTATGCCTCATATTTTTAAAAGAAATCATTTTGAAAATGTTTATACTTATTAGTTAAAAACATACATTCAACCTAAGTCTCATATGTATAATGAATAATGTGGTCAATCACTGTTGCTCCAACATATACAAACCTATATGGGCAAATTCATATATTCAAGGGTGGCAAAAACTCACAGCTCATGTCAACATCCTTGGCCTTCCTGTTAGGATTCCTCCTGAGTTTCATGGAAGGCAAAAGTTATATAAATGATTTTAAATAGCCAAGACTTCACAGTGTTATGATAGCATGGAATAACTGGAAATAAATCTTCTATTGTTGGTTTAGTTAGGCTGAGTAAATTATGGTCATCCCACTCTATGAAATGTTAGGCTGCTATTAATAATAAAAAATATGAAGACTATCAACATAGAAAAATTCCCAGGATAGTATCAAATCAAAGGAATAAACTGTATAAACAAAAAGGAAGATTATGTAAAAATATGGGTACATATAGACAAAATCAGAGAACAGAAATATCAGTTACTAGAGGTCCAGTGCACAACTTTTGTGCACTGGGGGGGGGGGGGGCGTTGTCCCTCAGCCTGGCCTGCGCCAGGCCTAAGCTGTCAGTTTGACATCCCATGAGGGCTCCCAGACTGTGAGAGGGTGAAGGCCGGGCTGAGGGACCGCCCGCCCCCCCAGCGCATGAATTTCATACACCGAGCCTCTAGTATTTTATAAAATAATTAGCTGAACTATATTCCTTTTTCATAACTATACCCCATGGAAACTTTTAGGTGTATTTTACCTTTTAAATCTCTCAAGTTTCATTACTCTAAAGCCAATCTAGCCATCAAAAGCCAGAAAATCTTTAGCCTCTGCTTCTGGGATAGGCAAAACAGGAAAGCCCTCTTCCTGTTTAAACTTCTGCCCCTAGATCTGACCTGCTAGTCAGAATGGACAAGAATATTAGACTCAATCAAGTGAGATCTATCTTACTGAACCTCTCTAATCTTTGTGTTCCTTAAGCCATAATTTCTGTATTTATGAAATTCTCCAAGGAGGTAAAATGCTTGAAGATTTCTCACATCCAGGACTTATCCCCTACCTTCCTATCTCCTCAACCCTGGAGAATACAGTGCTTAACATTGGTCTCTACCTTGCCAGGGGCAGGCCAAACCTTGAAGAGGTGATTATATCCCTAAAGATAAAAAGCCTGTGTTCCCTAAGAAGAAAACTACTATGTATTTAATACTTGTGCACCTGACACTTTATATATGATATATGAAACACCACAGACCCACTGAACCAGTTCCTGGAGTTAGCCAAGGAAATCTGCATTTGTAACATATATACTAAGTGATTGATAAAACACACACAAGTTTGAAAACCAATGGTCTAAGGTCAGTGTCTTTTCAAACTGTGAATGACAATTTATTAGTGGAAAGCATTAGAGTACATTGCATGTAGTTACGTACTTATTCTGCAAAACAGTTATCAGTTATATATCTGTATTATGTACTGGGTCATAATATAAAATTTATTTCTTAACTGTGAGTCACAGCCAAAATGTCTGAAAAGCACAAGCTAGGCATTATGGACTTAGAATAATGCAAATTGGGGTAGAATAGAAACCAAAAAAGAAAAAAAAGCAAGAAGGAAACAGCATAACATACATAATTTAAGCTCCATAAGTATCATGCAAAACGAAACTGAAGAAACTTAAATTCTGATCATCTATAGGAATAAGGGACAACAAACAAACAAACAAAGGAGGAAAGCTTGCAGTGGTTCTCAACCTTCCTAATGCCACAACCCTTTAATACAGTTCCTCATGTTGTGGTGACCCCCAACCATAAAATTATTTTTGTTGCTACTTCATAACTGTAATTTTGCTACTGTTATGAATCGTAATGTAAAGATCTAATATGCAGGATGTATTTTCATTGTTCGCGACCCACAGGTTGAGAACCGCTGGAAGGGGTATTATGGAAAATTCAATAACTTAACTTTGGCAAATAACAAATATTCTACCTCCGTTTGTTGTTTGCTGCTGCTGTTGTTGTTTACCGTGGTAATAACAAGTAGAATAGGCAAATTACTTAAACTTCACTATCCCCCTCGCCAGATAGAGTGTAAGTTAGAAAAGCAATAGCAGAAAGGAGAGCAGTTTATTTAATTCATTATCTAATTCCAAACCCTGGATAACCAAAAGTAGCCATCTGTTAAAACCTTCCTATCCTTGTTTGCAAAACTCAACTGAATGCACGGTCCCACCAGTTCCGAATAATGCAAACATTTACTGAGCCATCTCTTTTTTCTCTTTGTTTAAAACCAAACCACGGAATCTGTGGGAATCTAGGGTCACAACCTGTACCTCTAAGTGAAGTGAAGACTCAAATTGTCAAGCCGGCGAGGCACGTGCGTTATCTCAACTGTAAGGCTGGGAAAGCTGGGCACCAGGTCCCGCGATGTCCCCGGGAGTGGGAGCCACTGGGAGCTCCAGCTGGTGCCTAACAGGTCCCACGTGGCGGCTGACGGGGTGCTTCCACTTCGGCTGCAGACCCAGAAAACCTGCCCACAACAGCGGTGGTGGGGGTGGGGTTGGGGGAGGGGGGAAGCGCGATCCCGCTCTACACACAAGAACGCTGAGCCTGGACGGAATTCAACTCTGCCATCGGGCAGAGAGGGGGCGTGGGAAGCGCGTATAGGCGGCAGCAAAACCTCCAACCCCCGCACCATTGAGCCCACACTTCCGCTCCCACTGCTCCGGAGTTGTCGGATCTGTAACTCATGTAAGGGAAAAGCTTAACGATGAGCGAGCCTGCGGCAGGATGACCAGGACAAACGAATACCCCGCAAACAAAGTTGGTGGCTAGCGCGGCTGCCGATCACTATCAGGGCCCCATAGCAACTAGGTAACGGACAGAGAGGCGGGCTGGGACCTACTTGAGCCGGAAAGAGCCGGACTGCAAAGTGGACAAACTCCCGCTGCGTGAAGCTGACAGGACAGGGGCTAACTCCTGGACGTAGTTAAGTGAAAAGGGCAGCCGTTGACCCTGACTGGCGCGCGCTCGGATTGGTTGATTTTGGTATTGTTTCAAAGACGATTCTTCTATGATTGGTCAGGAAAGTCAAGCGGGAACCCGGAGGTGAGGGGTGGAAAGGGGGGTGGGACAAAGTTGTTACCTAGGCAACAGAGGTACACAGAGCTCTGGGCTATTTTCGGAGCCTAGCCAGCGACCCGAAAACTGACCCAGGTGAGGAACCCATACCTTACGTGGGGGAAATAGGGGTCCTCAGATTCCGTAGCTCTCAGAGAAAGTAGGGAGGAGTCTAGATACTTACAACGCTGAGAAATAATAATTAAAAAACCCCCACAAATCGCAGATAGAACAGACCCTAAATTCCCCTGCTCAAGACACTCTAAGCAAGACGCTTTAACAAAACTCAGTTTATCAGGGTGTGTGTTAGAGTTTTATCATACAGAGGATGGATGCTGATCGAATGTCAGAAAGCCAATATGAACAAGTGTAGGTTGCCTAACGGCTTTCACTCCACTCTCACACTCTAATGATTGTTAACACGAATTTGAGAGTGAAAACTACCTTTCCTTGTGGGTAGATTTGGGTGTTCTAAGTGAAAGTAGCCGCTGTGCCTTGTTTTACATGGATAAACATGATTCATCCTGGACCAGCACGCTTTGGTTGGGATATATTTTTTAGGGGGTATAACGGCTGTTCAGACCGAAAAAATTGGCCCGTGCCCCTTGTTACTTGGACAATGTCCTGTGCGTCAGAACGTGAACGCCGTGGGCCTGAGGCTTCCAACGGACCTTGGTCAGATAAGATCCTTTGAAGAGTGAGAAACAGTCAGTCCACACTTAGTGGACTGGAGCGTAGCGTATAAAGACAACTTGTACCTGCCAAACCTGCTACTCAACAAGGGGTAATTGGGAAAGTAAGTCGCTGTCATCAGGTGAGAAACCTTATAAAAAATGAAATTTGAGTGAGGGGACAGAACCGAATTTGACCAGAGGTAAGGGTCATTTCTCCTACGAGTTTTCTGTTGTGAAAAGGATTCAGGACAGAGACTTTTCCCTAAACAAATGAAGAAAACAGGCCTCTTGAGGGAAAATTTTCAAAGTACCGAAGGTAAATTTTCTGTCTCAATTCTTTTTTAGATAGAGTATGAGAATGAGACAGAAAAACAGGAAAAAATTACTGACAAGTGTGTTAAGTTTGGCTAAAATAAAGAATAAATAGACAGAGGAAATATTAAATTAAAAGAGGCTCATTTGTTTACTTTTAGGTTTATGAAAAATTCCAGATAATTTCAAAAATCATCTTCCATTAAATATATTTTAAATTTGTAATGAAACTCTGTTAAGTTCCCATAGTTCTTTATGACTTGGTACATCATTGGATGGCAATGAAAGTTAGACACCTAAAAAAAGAAATCGTTCTTGGTTTTGTAAAAATAAGGTCAAAATGAATTATTTTTAATGAGCATGGAATCATTGATGTGTATAGTTGTCAAAAATTTTAAAAAGGGGAAAACAGTTAGCCCATATATTATAATTTAATTCAGACATAGGCGGAGATTGTTTACTTTTGCATTTTCAGAAGAATTTTAACACAGGTATTGCTAAATGGAAATAAAGTTGCAAAAGGAATGCCAAATTTACTTAGGAGAATAAATGGATTTTGACTACTTTGAAATCATTCAGCTATAAATAATATTTTATGAAGGGATATGGGTTTACCTATTAAACAAGTTCCCAAAGAATACTATTTGGTGGTTCCTTATTATTCTGATTTTACTTACTATATATAGTTAAATTAATAAAATACCATTACTTTCTGAATAGTCTAAAAATCACAGTTTTCACTAATTTTATCTAGACTTCTCTTCAATTACTTCAAGTCAAAAAGCCACCCCTATTGACAATTTGAACGGAGGCAAATAAAATAGAAAGCAAGACCCCAGCCCTCACAAGCAGGTTATTGATATTGCTTTAATTCCATGGGTCTGGAGCTATCCTGGTTCATCTTGTTTAGTCCCTAGGTTTTGGTAATGACCTGGTTTTCTCTTCAGTTCATTGTGACTAGTACAAAGAGAGGTCCCCCAATCCCACCTCTATCTATGAAGGCCATAAGGGGTTAGGTTGATGTGGGAAAATCAAAGATTTTGTCTGGAATATGCTGCCATGGAATTGGCCTAGCAAAGGAGAGTGAGAGAAATAAAAATAAAGGGCCTAGAAAATTTATTTTATCAATAACCAAATCTTAAATAAAAGATTTAGCAATATATTTTTTTAAATGAAACTTCTATTTAAGTCTTTCTTAAATTATTTCTTGGACTATTTCAGTGGCAATGCCAGATTCCCAAACATAAGCATTGTGGCTCTAGAATGCATTTTTATCCCTAAACTATAGTACCTGAGTATAGGAAAAAGGAAGGATGTATTTCAAGGTACAAGAGCAGAAGATTATAGGGTATATTTAATAAGCAGTTCAGTTTTTAACAGAATACAGATTACATGTAAGAGAATTATAGGAGGGAAGGGCAGAAAATTAGGTTGGGGTTATATCCTGAAGGACTTTGATTTCCAGGCTCAAGATAAACTTAATGTGTATCAAATTTACAAATAACAGATAGCCCTACAAATAACACTGCATAGTTAATAAAAAGGCATCTTGCCTTAGGCTTTTCCAATGTTATCTGTTTGCATCAAATGAACTTTAACATCTTTTTAATAAATGTTAGTAAATTATTCGTAATTTGTTAGACTTCTACAAAAGCTGGTACAATCTTTATTTACTTTTTTATTCTTTATTGTTTAAAGTATTACATATAGTATTACATATGTATCCTTTTTTTCCCCATTGGTCACCCCACCCTCTAGCACATACCCTCACCCCTCTAGTGTCTGTGTCCATTGGTTATACTTACATGCATGCGTACAAGTCCTTTGGTTGATCTCTTAGTCCCCACCCCCACCATCCTCTGCCTTCCCTCTGAAGTTTGAAGGTCTGTTGGATGCTTCTCTGTCTCTGAATCTGTTTGTGTTGTTCTCTATATTCCACAAATGAGTGAGATCATGTGATATTTATCTTTCTCTGACTGACTTATTTCGCTTAGCATAATGTTCTCCAGGTCCAATCCATGCTGTTGCAAATGGTAGGAGTTCCTTCCTTTTTACAGCAGCATAGTATTCCATTGTGTAGATATACCACTGTTTTTTAATCCACTCACTGATGATGGACACTTAGGCTGTTTCCAGATCTTAGCTATTGTAAATTGTGCTGCTATGAATGTAGGGGTGCATATATCCTTTCTGATTGGTGTTTCTGATTTCTTGGGATATATTCCTAGAAGTGGGATTACTGGGTCAAATGGGAGTTCCATTTTTAATTTTTTGAGGAAACTCCATACTGTTATCCACAGTGGCTGTACTGGTCTGCATTCCCACCAACAGTGCACGAAGTTCCTTTTTCTCCAAATCCTCGCCAGCACTTGTCAGTTCGTTGATTTGTTGATGGTAGCCATTCTGACAGGTGTGAGATAGTATCTCATTGTCGTTTTTGATTTGCATCTCTCAGATGATTAGTGACTTTGAGCATGTTTTTATATGGCCTTCTGTATGTCCACTTTTGAAAAGTGTCTATTTAGGTCCTTTGCCCATTTTTTGATTGGATTGTTTATTTTCCTTTTGTTAAGATGTATGAGTTCCCTATAAATTTTGGAGATTAAACCCTTGTTGGATATAACATTGGCAAATGTGTTCTCTTTCTTGTTGTTTTGTTGATGGTTTCTTTTGCTGTGCAGAAGCTTTTTATTTTGATGTAGTCCCATTTGTTTATTTTCTCCTTAGTCCCCATTGCCCTAGGAGCTGTATCAGTAAAGATATTACTCTGACATATGTCTGATATTTTGCTGCCTATGGATTCTCCTAAGATTTTTATGGTTTCCTGTTTTACGTTTAAGTCCTTTACGCGCTTTGAGTTTATTTTTGTGTATGGTGTAAGTTGGTGGTCCAGTTTCATTTTTTTTTTTGCATGTATCTGTCCGATTTTCCCTACACCATTTATTGAAGAGACTGTCTTGATTCCATTGTATGCTCTTGCCTCCTTTGTCAAATATTAATTGAGCATAATGGCTTGGGTTGATTTCTGGGATCTCTGTTCTGTTCCATTGCTTTATATATCTGTTCTTGTGCCAGTATCAGGCAGTTTTGAGAACAGTGGCTTTGTAATATAGCTTGATATCTATTATTATGATCCCTCCAACTTTGTTCTTCTTTCTCAAGATTGCTGCAGCTATTTGGGGTCTTTTTTTGTTCCATATGAATTTTTGAAGAGTTTTTTCCTAGGTCTGTGAAGTATGCCATTGGTATTTTAATGGGGATTGCATTAAATCTATAGATTCTTTGGGTAGTATGGATATTTTAATGATGTTGATTCTACCAAATCCATGAACACGGTATATTCTTCCATTTGTTTATCTTCCTCTATCTCTTTTTTCAATGTCCTGTAGTTTTCTGAGTACATGTCTTTTACCTCCTTAGTTTATTCCTAAGTATCTTAAGTTTTTCTGTGCAATGAAAAATGGGAGTGTTTTTGTTGTTTCTCTTCCTGTAAGTTCATTATTGGTGTATGAAAAAGCCATAGATTTCTGGGTGTTAATTTTGTGTCTTGCTACATTGTTGAATTCATTTATTAAATCTTTTGGTTTTTTGATGGAGTGTTTAGGTTTTCAATGTATAATATCATGTCATCTGTGAATAGTGACAGTTTTACTTCTTTTCCAATTTGGATGTCTTTTATTTCTTGTCTGATGGCTATGGCTAGCACTTTTAGTACTATGTTGAACAGGAGCAATGGGAGTGGGCATGCTTGTCTTGTTCCAGTTATTAGGGGAAATAGTTCTAGTTTTTGCCCATTGAGTATGATGTTGGATGTAGGTTTGGCATGTAATCTTTATTTACATTTAATTTAGAATATTTTTTCAAAAATTCACATTATTTTCTCTTTTTATGTTTTGAAGTATTTAGTTATTGACAAAATATTGGTGATTCTTTTGTTTCTCAAAATAC